CGGGCCCATCCGGTGGCCGCGGTGCGGCGCGCTCCGAGGGGCGCCTGGCATCAGCACCCCAGCAGCACAGGCTCCAGCCCCTGTTCCCCGCCCATCCACCGGGGTGTCTCAGATACTTGGTTTCTTGCAACTGTCTTGGTCAGGAAAAAAAAAAAGAAATACTATACATATATCATTCTCTGAACTCTTTTTCCATGAGTGTGATGCGGCTCAGAGACAGTGTGGAATCTTTTCCTGACGGGCTTGAAAAATAGGGTCTTCCTCACATGTCTGTAAATAACTCTGGAGTCCAGCGGGGCCCCTGCTAGTGCGGAACAACCGCGGGCGCACGCGAGCGCTTGCTGCGGACCCATCTTACCAACAGCTCACGGCGTCCCCTCCCGGTGCACTGTCGGTGACAGGGAGTGTGTCCTGTGTTAGACCCACGTCCTGTCCTGCCCTGTGTAGTGCTAGATCTGTATCTCTTGTCTCAGTTAAACACTTTTAGTTGCTGTGCACATGTTAGGAAGCAAAGTAGCTTTGAATTTTCTCTTTAAGAGAACAAAAGATAAAGTAATGTATTTTTCTTCATTTTCCATTTTATTTGGTGATATTTAAATGAAATAGAAAGCCATATAACATAGCTATAATTACTACCTGTTTGCTATTTTTGTTTAACTTATTTTGTAGCTCCCTCACCAGTTTGAGTTGCTAAAGCAAATGTAGACAAACAGAGAAGAGCTTCCTAAATGGCACATTTTTGCACCTCTTGTGCAATTTGCAAGAAGACAATGAATCCATGTATTTCTGTGTCATTATCTTTTTCATTTTTAACCTGTTTTCATTTGTAACGATGCTACATAATCTTGTGGCTCCCTAATGCAATAATGTACAGAAGATAAAAAATTTATAATTGAACAATTTGTCTTTCTGTTCACCGAGTATGTTGCAGGTCATGCTCCCATGCCCCCTTTCTAAGCTGGTATCAACAAGACTGGAATGTTTGTGGTATCAGAGGCAAGAGGTATCATAACACAACAAAACAGAGTGAACTCTTTTTGAGCATCTGTATCTGCAATCTGTAAATGGTAAAATGTCTGTGTATTTTTTTAAATGTACCTTTTCAATAAAAGTACAAAAAATAAAAATCTGTTTGTATTTTCAAAGTTATTTTCTCCTGAGACACCATCCATTTGAAATCATCTGATGAAAGATTTTCAGTAGATGCAAAGATTGCTTTTTACATATTTAGCATTTTCAGCTCTTATTTGCAGCATTTAGTTGTCATGTTTATTCATTACTGTTCACGGCATCTGCATGAGGCGAGACTTTACTGCTGTTTTCCCTCCAAATCTCTAAGAAATTGGGCCAAAGTTGTGAGTGTGGCCCAAAACCACAGTAGCAGCCTGCCAAAAATTTGGGACTGATTTTTTTTAAGCTTGCTGTGAATCTTTTCAATCCCTAGCCCATCTTTTATTCATGTCTCTGGCAATCACAATCTCTTTTTAGAGAATTTTATCTCACTTCTTCCCATTTACCTTCTCTAATCAGCTCACCCCTCTTTCCTTCCACCTTGTTCTGTTCTTAAATGTAAAGATTAATACATCACTATTTGTTCTGATTATCTATTGCTGCTCAAAGAACTACACCATAATTTAGTGGCTTAAAATAACAACCATTTTATTTTATTACAATTTCAGGAATCAAGAATTCTCACAGGGCTAGGCTGGGCTGTTCTTCTGTTCCCTGGGGCAGCAATAAGAGGCCTCTCGGTAGTGTCCAGCTGGCGCGTGGGCTGGTCTAGAGGCCCACGATGGCTTCACTTGTATGTCTGCCTGGATGAAAATGGCTGGAAGGCTAACTATTGTAGCAGTCTACAAGAGAGCCCATATGTGGCCTCCTCGGCCACATGGTCTCAGATAATTACCTGGTAACTCTGGACTCTCAAAACATTTCAAGAGGCCAAGGTGGAAGTCAAAAGGCTTCTTATAAAGTTGTCTCAAAACGCCCAGCATGTCACTTGTGGTGCATTCTATTGATCAAGCCATTCACTAAGGCCAATCCAGGTTCAAGGGAAAGGAAATTATTTGCTTTTCAATATGAAGAAGAGCAGAGAATTTGTAGCCATCTTTAATCTACCACTCTGTTGTAGAATTTTGAAGTGAGTGCTAACAAAGCTATTACAGATCCCCCTTCCCCCTACCATAAGCCCAAACCACATAAGTTTTTTAAAATGAGAAGAATTGGAGTGGGAGTAGGACCTAAATTCTCATTTCTAAAAATGAAGGCCAAGGATGGCAGTGCAGCTGTGATACACAGCAATAGGCTTCCCCTACCAAAGAGTTTAACCAACTATTTGAAAATTGTTGACCTTAATATTCTAGACTTATAGTAAGGTCACTTTTAGAGTCTATTAGGATTCCAGTTTGGCATTCAGAATTTGGTTATTTTTAAAATATGATTAATTTGAGCTCTAACCAATACTAGATACACTAAACTTTAGTTGGACCTTCAGATATGGTTTATGGACACCATACTCTGAAGGAGTTGTGTTTAACACTTTGGAGAACTCTTTATTTTTATGGACTCCAATGGCAATTATATTTCATTTCTCTTGTATCACCATCCATTCCATTAAAGATTACTTCAATCCTCAAAAATTTTCTAATGTCAATATTTAAATAGGCTCAGGAATTTACTGATTATATTCAGAGTTTAAGATTTTTAAAAATCACCTCATGGAGGAAGTACAAAAGAATAGCAATTAATTAAAATGAATGCTCCCAAAAATAAGCCAGGAGTAGCTTTGAACAATAATTTATAAAACACTACTAAACAGACATATCATCCAGCCTGATTCTGAGGTGGCACAGTGGGTCAATCCTGAAAGGATATACATATTTGAACTAATACCTCTTCTTATGCCATTTCTTTCTGCTTTTTTGTGTGATTTTTTTAGAGAGAGAGAGAGAGAAGCATTGATCAGTTGCCTCCCATACACACCCCGACCAGGGATCGAACCTGCAACCTTTTAGCACCACCACTCTACCCATTCCACTTATTGGGAAAGTTTTAAAATGTGCTGCTTACTCTGACATGGTCCAGCTCTGGTCTCTGTAGAATCTGAAAACTACTACAGGTAGGATTGCCAGAAAAAAATATAAAACACACAATTAAACTTGAATTTCAGATAAACTATGGATAATTTTCAGTATAATATCCTAATAATTTTTATTACACTATTACATATAGCATAAGTATGTCCCATAAATAAGTATACAATATTTGGGGACATACTTATATTAAGAGAATATTTGTTGTCTATCTGAAATTCAAATTTAAATGGATAGGCTGTGTTGTTGTTTTTCTAAATCTGGCAACCCTTGTCTCAGGAGCATTTCTCTTCATCTCAAGTGCCATTTATTCTTCAGGAGAGAAGCAGCCTCTTGGGTATTAAAAACTAAATAATGAGTTTTTAAAAGCACATTGTGAAATGTACTCATAAATAGGCAGAGGAAGGGATTTGCAATAAGTGAAAGCCAATGATATATTATTAACATTGGATAGGACAGAACAGGGGACAATGCATCTACAGAGGCCTCTTTCTTAAAGCTGTGTGGATACCTGTTAACAACAT